ATTTAGTTAATTACACCTTTGGGCCTAATAGGTCCACTTTTCAGCTACTTTACAAGGAAATTCGCATGGTCGTACCTTTGCTCCCTGAAGATGTTTGAAATTATTAATTCAACAGGGGCGAAAATAGAACAGACAAAATCCATTTCTCGATCGTAGAATCTCCCCGAGATTGCGAAAGTTTTAAATTATATGAAGTTCGAGATTTTCAGAAATTTCCTTCAAGATTCCCGGGATTTTCAAAGATCCATGAAATCTATTGTATTGTTAATATCTGTTCGATTCTAGGAAGCCAAAGGGCCTCATATTTTTGTATTATTTCTCTCAAAATTCCTATTCCTGCTTAAAAGCGTGAAATGAACTATTGTCGAATCTCGCCCGATCAAAGGAAGTTAAATTGCACTTTGTAAGTGTAGTCACCCCGACGAGAATCGATGAACTCGAAAGTAGACAGAATCGTGTCTCTCGTGCGCTGTATATTAACTTTAAGGAAGATAGCCAGAGATATAGGTTTCACGAATCGAGGGTTACCTGAATATGAGTTGGTAAGTCGAAAGAAGTTGAAATCTTATCCATCGTGTTCCCTCAAGTATCAACAGGCTTGAAGAAGTTCAGATTGTATCCCTCATGTCTGAAATGGTTCTTAAGACCCGAAGAATCAGCGAGTTATATAGAATCGTATCTTTAGAGTTTTGTTGTTATCCCTGTAAGATCTTTTGGCTCGAAGAAAGTGAACGTGCAGGGGTTCAAATCGTGTTTCTCAAGTTATTTATTTTTAAGTTATTTGTGTACATTTTCATTTATTTATTTTTATTTATTTTTAAGTTATTTGTGTACATTTTCATTTATTTATTTTTATTTATTTTTAAGTTATTTGTGTACATTTTCACAACAGTAACAAATTTTAATGATCATCGATCAGAAATTCCGATGTTTCTTAGATATTTTGTTGACAACAAGTCGCACGTTGCTAGAAATACGCAGCGTTTCAAAATCTATATATTTTGTATTTATTCAAATTTATTGACCAGGTAGAAATCAATGCAAGATCGTATAAATGTTCTATTTTTTTTTTTAATTTTCTATATTAAGGAGTACGCGTAGGCAGCGATTGCAGTGGAGCAGCCACGTGTAATAAAATTGCAAAACGTTCGTTAAATTAAAACACAACATCTACGGTTAAAGAAAATTCTTGTGAAGTCTAATTTTGCCACCGTCGACTTTCTTGCAACTTTGCTTTCCCGTTCTATTTGTAGACGAATCGCAATATAACATATTCTTGACAATGAAACATTTCCTTGCCTGTTTTAATTACTTATCTCATTTTTCCAAGAATTTTCATTTCCATTTCATTTCTACGAGTTTGAATGATATTTTTGTTAATTTTTCTATTGGAAATGGGACATTGTTCCATTCGATTCCCCCGATACAAAATCTCCAAATGTTGTTCTCGCAAATAAAAGAACGCCGACTTGTGACGTTGGATGACATCGACGAGTTGCGAAACAATGCAACTCCCGTCACAATGCCATTGCAAGAACCTCGAGTCTTGCCCTGGTACTGCTCATCCCCCAATTTAACACTTTGCGTGACTGTTTCTCATTCACGTCGAGCGGATAACGGCGAGTGTTATCTAGGCCATGTAAATTACTTTCGGTAATTTGACGGTGCTCGAATAATTTTCCATACGAAGCCAGAATCGATCGCCTAATCAAACCCGAAATCAGTTGCTCTGCGGTTCGGAATTTCAGGCGCAAGTCCGATAAACAGTTGCCTGTTATAAATTGTTGCCGGTATAATAACTCAGTAAAGTATAATTCTGAAACAACGACCTCTTTCACGTCGTGTCGTGTAAAATTTTATTGTACGCTTTCCTTTCGTCTCGGATAGTTGGGAAAAAAATTGACGCGGTGGCATTACGTCTCTGCGCCTTACATCTTTTGTATTGCGAGATGTTACGAGAGACAATGAGAGAGATGTTGTTTGAGGGGAAATGTGAACAGCTCAAAGAGTTAAATAATTATCTACGTTCCTGTTTAGAAGTTTGGAGCATGTTAGGTTATTTCAAAAGTAAGAATGACATTTTCGAGTGAGTAAATATCTTATTTATAAAATATTACTCTCTCATGTATGAACTTGCATTGGTATTATCGTGAATTTCTTAGAAATGTGTGTGTGTCAACCACAATGTTTACAATATAAATTATAAATAATATTAAATAATATGTTATAATAAAGAACAATTAATTTATAAATTCATGCATCAAGATCTTACGTATTATGATTATTTAATGTTAAAATTTGAAAGAATCGTTCTTGCCGTGAAATACAAATTACAAAAATTTGCGAAATCGTAGAGCAAAAGAGGAAACTGAAAAAAATTGAAGATCCATCAAATCGACGACGATGCGAAGCTGCGACTTTGAAATTTTCCCACGTTGAAAAAATATTTGTCTAATCCATCAATATCGTATCGTCCTAAATTTTCTCCTTTTACGTGTCACGACGGAGGCATCGTTCGAATGAAACGCGTGCCACGTCAAAGCATTGTAACGCGTTCGCTGCGAATCAAGCATCGATGCAATGGCTTTGCACGAAGCGTTGCACCCTTTCTCTACACTCTGATACTCTCGAGAGTAGCAGCAGATTTTTCGTTCAGGCTGCGCCTGCGATGACGGCGATACTTCAATGACGCGTGCACCGCGGCAGAAAGAAAGAGAAGAAGACGAGAAGGAAAAAAGACGGAGAAACGTGATCGATGGGCAGATAGATAGGTCGCCAGATACAGACGTAAAATGTGAAAAGAAAGCACAAGAACCAACGCGAAGGGAAAATATGAAAGAGTGGTCGCGTGCGTATGAAGGGTGACATAAGGAACATAAAAATGGAAAGGTGATTTTTTTTTATTTTTGTTTTGTCTCTTGATAACGGAGTGGCAAAAGACAAAACATTATTATGCTCGTTTTTGCCTTGGTCCTGCGTGAAACTGAAAAAGAATTTTCAATTTCTCATTGTGATCCTGAACGGTGTTCTTATAATGGGGCCCTGGAATTTTCAGGTGTCACTCATACTTTTGAAAGATTCTTGTGATATACAATTTTTGGATATTTTTTTAAGTCAGAGAAATTCTGGAATTTTCATATTTCAGGCGAACAAAAGGTTTCTAATAGTTTAGAAAATGGGACAGGAGAATTTTGACAGGAAAAGAGAATTATGTATGTTTGAAGAAAAAAAGTTATTAATTATTGGAACCTTGCTCGCCAAGGTTCTCGTGCGAATGATATTTACATTTTTATCCAGTTTTTGTTTTTTATTCAACAAGAGAAATCGTGCGCAGAATAAAGTTTACGACCAAGGCTAGTTCTTGCTTCCATCGCTAAATATTAGCATTGCATTGAAAAATAAATAATACCTACAGCGCGTGCTGTGTTCCGAGATCGCATTGTTCATCTAATTTTCCTCGACGTTTCGAAAAATATTTCAAACGTAAAAACTTCTTGTTCCTTAAATAATCAAATAACTTCGTTTCTATCGAGTCTCAATTTCCAAAAGTAAATTTCGAATGCAAGCGTCTCGCTTTAACGTTTAGGTATTATTCTTTTATTAATATTATTACGCGATCTTCAGACCTGGACGACAACTAAGTTTCTTAATGAATTTCAAAAAGATGAATTTCGATCTATGTTAAACTTCATTTACATGACAAACGACTTTTCAAGAATTTGAATTTTCACAATAGGTCGCATGATTATAAAAACTGTAGAACAATCGGGTTAAATTATCCGACATGTGTAAATCAGTTGGAAAGGAGGAGCAAAGTTTTTACGGCCAAGACCTCGTTTTCAAGGAAATCGAGTTTGAAAATTCGTCAAGTACACGCGTATTTGCTGTTAGGGAACTCCCGATGGAACACGTTCGGACGAAGAGTCGACGACACCTATTTCAAACTCGATTTTCTCGAAAACAAGGCCACTCGTGTACTCGATAAAATTTTCAAATTTGTTTCTTGGTTTGAAAACGAGATCCCCAACTGGAAAAAGAAATCTTCGATTCTATCATTTGATTTATTTGGCCGTACGGTTTCTCCCCAGTACAACTCTGTTTTGTATTTCGAAAGAAACATAAACTAAAGAGAATCCTGCGTGAATTTGCAATAAAATTTATCAACGATCGACAAAGATATGTAGAGGAGGATTTTATATGAAAGGAAGAATTAGTGCCATCTTAATTATTATTTGTGATAGCCAAATGTTACTGATTAATATTAATAATTACTGTTGTTAATTACTAATTAATTGCTTTACATAAAATGAAAAAGATACTCTTCAGAAATGAACAACAAGTAGAAGTAAACATTTCGAAATCGTTCGATAACATTCTCTGGTAATTAAGTGTTATGATCTATAGACGAGACACGGGTTTAAATCTCTCACGTGTCAGTGAACGCATTGTAACGCGGACGGATGAAAAACGAGAACGAGAGTCCGAGAAAACACGGAGAAAATATCTTTATTAAGAAAACGATGCATCGTGGAATTACTAATCCCAAGCTCGGCAACCAACCGCTCTTCTGTGTAAATCGAAAGAGCAAACACCGCCAATTACATCAGCAGGAGCAAGATCGTCATCGCGCACGTGTACCGTAGAGAATCAACTATATATGCAGCAGGCAAAGAGGTGAGAAAAGGAAAAAAGTATGAACGAGAGAGAGAGAGAGAGAGAGAGAGAGAGAGAGAGAGAGAGAGAGAGAAAGGAAAAAGAAAAGAAAGAAAAAAAGAGAAAAAAGCACAAAGAGACAGTGGCGACGCAAGGTCGAGTAGCATTCCGAAAGTTAAAGAGTTTCGCTGTAAACGATAGCTACGCGGAAGGTGGGCACCCCCGGAGGTGGAGAGTAGGTGGTAAAGTGGCCGAGGAGAGAGAGAGTGCAAGGTTTAGGGTAGGACGTAGCTCGCAGGAGCAGTAATATCGATCGATCCGTCGAGTTCGAGGCTCGACAGGGTCGACTGGGGGTGCTGCAAGTAGAAAAGCTCTCCCATAAGCAGGCAGGCAGGCTGGCTGGCTGGCTGGCTGCCCGGGCACGGACCGTTTCCACTGTCTGTCTGTCCGTCCGTCTCGTCTCGTCTCGTCTCGTCTCGTCTCGTCTCGTCTCATTTCGCCTCGTCTCGTCTCGCTTCGTCTCGTCGCGTCTCGCCTCGTCTCGTCTCGTCTCGTCTCGTCTCGTCTCGTCTCGTCTCGTCTCATTTCGCCGCGTCTAGTCTCATCTCGTCTTTGCCTCTTCGCTCTTCTTCTTGCCTCTTCGATTTTATTACACACGTACGTACGTACGCGCACATGACATCTTGTTGTCGGTCTCTCTGGTATACCATGGTTTCGACACACCATGTAAATAACGTGTCCACGGTGTGGCTCGAAGCAAGAGGGAAGAAGAACACGCGAGAGTTTTGCTAAAAGTTTGCCGAACTTCCTTCGTCAGAGGAGTTCTGTATCTGTTCCTTTTAGTTTGATTGTGTGATTGCCTCGTGCCGTGCGGTGGGCGTACGCGCGGTACGGTTCACAGCTGTGACCTTGGGAAGCAGTGACAGTGCGTGTCTCTGACCTTGGCACGGGGGTTCGCCAAGTTCCCCGATGGCAGCGCGAGCACCGCTGCCAGCCGCGACGACAGCTGATCGACCACCGGCCAAGTGGAGTTCCAACGGAGGATGTTCATCGACCGGATTGCCTTACCGAGCATAATCAGGTGCGTGACAACTTCGTTTCGATTCGGCTGATTCTTGTCCGGGATCAAAACCGTTCGTGTCACTCGGTGAACGACACTCGTCCCGTGATTACGTAATGGTTACGAATCGACTCTCGCCGGCTAGAGCAGCCGCCCGGAAAATGAAATTTCGTTTTTCTTTCCCGTTCGAAAGAAACGATCGCCTCGTTCCCTGAAAATTTCATCGTTCTCGTTCCGGTGAGAAATAATCATTCCAGAGAATCGTTCGTCGACGTTCAGTGGTAAATTATTCGCGTCGAACGTTCGTCGCCGGGAAGGAGAGCGAGTTGGTGAAATTTTCTTCAACGACCTGTTTGTTTGGAACGATGCCACGATTCCACGCGACGACGTTTGCGTATATAAATTCGATTTTCAGTTAGATATCGGTATTCCGATCGCGGTGATATGCGATTACGCGATAGCTTCGCGTGCAGTTCGATGTAGGGCTCCACTGACACAGATTTCGCGAAGGTAGAATGCCACTATATCGAGTTTACGTAAGACCGCGAGCAAAGCTGCGTGTATAGCGTAGTTGGTGAAGCAGCCACCATGGCCAGCCGGGTGACATTTAAACGTGGCTGTAGTGACGTCGTGCATTAAACGCGCTCGAGTTACGTTCTATCCCAATTGCTGATGATGTGAGGATTTGTCACGCCATTGGTAAACAAGTAATAATTCTTAGAAAATTATTCTGATGAAAAGTATATCCTGGGATATTATTTTCTTTGAATGAACACTCTTCTCTTTTTATTGGATTCGATTATAAATAATAATAATGATAATAATAATAATAATCGTCATTCAACTCGGATTAATTTCGTACAATCTTGGAATTTCGTTACATTAAATAATGTTTCTCGTTTCATTGAACGTTATCGAAACAATAGACGATAATTCTGTTTATTAATCAAATTGCCAAAATAGATCTCAAAATTATTGCAACTTTTCTTTTATCCACAAGAGTCAGACACTATTTCAAATCTATGGTCAACTAATTTTAATGTTAACTCCTTTCTACATCACATCTGTGTTTAAAACTTTTGTAAAACGTTGGGAGCCTCCCTCCTGTTGCAAATTCTTCAATTAATTAATGGAACATCGTTCTTCGTTTCGAAGAAAATTCTAACGAAACGCTTTAAAGTAAAGTAATGAGTGAAATTCTTCAAACAATTACGAAATTACTGTCTCTCGATGGATAGACGTCGATGAGAAACGAGCAGGGAAGCGAGATTTCGCGCAGCGAGGGCGCACTCGAGTCGCGCCCCACTGCCGACGGAGAGGTTAAAGACGAAAGTCTGCCACGGACAAGGTCAACAGCTGACGGTTAACATTAACCATTTCCCGTATGCTTCTAGAGGATCATAACCGTGATCTAATTTCTCGTCATCGTCCCCCTCGTAACATTCTACTTTCCCCTATCTGTTTTGTTGCCTATTCTCGCAGATCTTTTGTCTGAATTTCCTCGATGAATCATAACCGCGTCGTGTTTTGACAATTTGTCCCGTGTGAGCGATTATATTTCTTGACGTGTTCGCGAGAACAAATTTTGCCGCCCTACAGCGAAATTACACTAGTGGAATGTTCCAAGTTGCGTACGCGGTTGTTTTCGCGATGGAAGTTGGCATCTTGTTGCAGCGATTTATAGCAGCTTCTTTAGAGTGACGTCGTAAAATAGATTATGGAAATGGGCTTGTTAGGGTAATCGATGTAGGGTATGGATGGATTTGAGGGGTTAGATTGCATCGTTCGTGAATACTGTGCATTGTTTGACAATGGATTTAAGATGCTTATGAATAATGCTTCGGAGATTCAGACACGTTTCTATCGTACGAACAAGAGACAATAATTTGTAACAATTCGCGTATCAGTAATAATATATAGCTATGATTGCGAAATAATTAATTTGAGAATGGATTCAAAATGTTGGTAGGTTGTTATAATTTTTGTAAATCGTATGTTTATATTAGTATGTCAACAATAATTTAAGTTGGGTGTTTTATCATCCAATCGCTCAAATTAATTTGAAAATGGATACAAGATGTCGTTGGGTTGTTATAATTTGTGATATAAGTTGTACATTTTATTATAATAATTGATTAATTCAAATGATCGAATAATCTAGACGTAGATTTAAGGTTCTAACAGCTCGAAAATTCAGGCAAAATAGCTAATATATCGTGTGTTATCATGAAGTAACTAATTGATTAAAATAATCAATAGTCCAGGAACAGATTTAAGGCTTACTCGTGTACCAAATTCCGCGCTCAGGCACGCTTTTATTCAACATATTGCCGCAAGATGAAACAATTTTCATATTCGGGAGAAACATGGTCGAAACATCCAAAACGGAGGAAATTACTGCCTGATCTCAATAGGAAGTAGCATCAATAGAATATCGACGATCGAACAGGCGAACCTTCCCCGATCATTTCAATCGCGCGATATACATTCGACACAATCGAATTACCAACCAACTTACGTTTTGCAATCGTATTTTCATAAACGTCGATATCATCTCTGCCCCCTCGTTCGATATACGAAGGTCTGCCGACTGTTGCCGAGTAATTTCACGCATTCGATGAAACGCACACACACTCGATGCCCCCACCTCCCTCCCCCTGTTTAAGTCGAGTAATCATATTCTCGCGAGTATCCTCGAAATTAACGATTCCCACGATAGGGTAGCCGGGCGAAGGTTGCGCGCCGCGAAGAATATTACCGCGTTATTTATCGCGGTTATAAAAGGATATTTCCGCGAGATTGAAGCCGTCGTTGGTTCGAGTTCCGCAATTAACGGCGAGAAAAGGGAATGATGGAAACAGAGGTGGGCGGGTGTAGAAATACGGCGTGACCCGGACTGTCAGCTACAAAGCGGCCAACATTGCAAGGAGCAACCACTATTATTGCGTGGCCGTGTATCTCTCGGGTGTGAACTTGATAACAGCAATTAGGACGTGAATAGTTATTGTTCGGCCCCGATTGATTTTTTTTTCTCTCTCTCTCTCTCCATTGTTTCCTTTTCCCCTTACTTCGCTGAAATTTACGAAATTTCGCGCAAAAGAGCGGAAAGAGAGAGAGAGAGAAGTTGCTGAAACGACGTTAACGAGCGTCGAAAAACGTAGAACAATCCATCGATGACGACGATAAACAACGTAACGCGTGTCCCGTGTCCTGTTGTTTCAGACTTTAGGCGAGTCACGAAGAATGAACATCGTGCGGCGAAATACGCGTGGAAAAATCGAAGAAACGGAAGCCGGTGAGGCTTGCCGCTTGGACGAGGTTATACATTAACGATGGACAACTGCGAAACGGGAACAGATGCACCAGCACGAGTTGTCAGACGTTCGCAGAGCATGAAGAGGAGAAGATTCGCCTGACTTCGTAGACACGTTCGGTGCCAGTTTGGAGGATGGAGGAGTCCTCACCAAGGATTCGTTCCTATCTGGAATGCTGGGACGTAAGTACAGATTCTTTCTAATTTAAATGATCGTGCAACTAAAACGTAAAGAATATATATAGTTGAACAATTACTAACTAAATTGAAATAATCAGGATAATATTTCCTTCAATACCTTCCACAAATAATTTTTTTTTTTTTGATAGTTATACATTAATATAACCCTGCATCGAATCAACTAGATTTTAATCCACTTTATTCGATTAAAATAATCAAAATAAGATCGATGTCGATTATTTCTCTGACGCTGAGTCTCAAATTCAGTTCAATTGAAATGATCGGCACAGAAATCAACCATTAGTTCAATTAAAATAATTAAACTTGATTTAATATTTTGTCAGTCGCAGTAAATGTCTCTCTTTTCTTTCTTTTCTCTCGTCACAAACAAATACGTGTGCAAGTCAGTGAAACGTGTTCGACGTGTGAGATCGGCGAACACATATTTTCGAGCGAAGGTTCAAACGACGGACAAAGAATCACGGAATCAAGGGTGAAAGAAGAAAAAACGTTTCGTAGCTGCCCATGAAAGAATCCAATTGTCAGGATTTCAGATTTCCGATTTAAATTCGGATTATGGAAATTAAGCGCGTGCTAGGAGAGCACGAAGGATTTCCGCCCGAATAATCGTTCAGGATGCAAGCGGTTCTTTGAGCCAACCTCCTCGGCGCTACGCGACACTCGTACAACCCTCACGGACACCATTGTTCCTTAGCTCTTCGCTGGTCTCGCTTTAAAATTGCATCGCTTCGCAGACGGTACGAAATGTACCATTGAATTCTCTTTTCTTGTTTGTCTCGAGGATCCGAGTGTTTCGTTCTCATTATAACGCCGTCTGGCTTACGGGATATTTTCTTTCTTTCACGCAGGATAAAGTGCAGGTTTTTAATCGTTTGTTTTGTACACAATCGTTTCTTTTCTCTTTAAATAATAATTATTTATATATATAAGAGATGTATATATATATTCAACATATTAATAATTTTGTTGTGACAATGATGTATGGACTATATATATAAATAATTATTTATATATATATATATTTAACATATTAATAATTTTGTTGTGACAATGATGTAGGGACTATCGTCTGTATCGAAACCATCATTTTATAATTTATAGTTTCGTATAATTTCTTTCTTCCTTATTCCGGACGAGTGGGAAAGAAATTTTTGTCATAACAATTTTTATTGATTTTTCGTTTTATTTCCTTCGTCGTACAGCTGTTTATTTTCTGTAGTTTCTTCGACCTTTCTAATGGTAGTTTTTACAGGTTCCTTGACAGAGTAATTTATGTTAATGCTGGAACAAGGCTCTCGGCAGTTTCACATTAACAGCGAATCAATATACGCGCTCTTACCATTAATTATTGTATTCTTAGTAACTCGTCGTAATTAAACTAGCGTCTTTCGTTATTATATATATGTCGTGGAGAGCCATTAGTCATTAGAAGTCAGCTTTCTCGAGACTGAGTTTCAAGTAAAAAAAAATTCCAAAGTTCTTCACGACGACAATATTAATTAATCTCGACACTCTGGAAAATAAATTGCACTTCGTCTAATATACTGGCTAAACATTTCCGCGATGAGGCATCATGTTCCATAAAATTTACTTATTAATTAAAAAATTAGTATTAGAGTCAACACGGTGATTTAAAAAAAAAAAAAAACAGAAAAAAAGAATTTGTCAATTACAGAATCAGCTAGTGACCCGATATATCTACGATTAGAATAATGTCATCGAACTTGTTAACGGTGCACATTAAATTCGAATTAATTGCAAAATCAGCAATCGATCGGACGTGTCTGCAATTAAAAAAAGAAAATGCAAAATTTATTACCAGCCGCACCTACACGTGACATTAAATTCGAATCAATTACCAACTACCAGAACCAATCTAGTCTACAATTAGAAAAGTAATTTCAAACACACGTCAGTTGCAAACGTACACGTATAACACGCAGCGGAGTAACACATTTCCATCTATAAACTACACCGCCTAAACTTCCACCCATAAAAGCGGATGGAACACGCGCGAAACTAGTTCGATCGTAACACCACGTCCGACACACAATAAACGAGGAAATATTCGGGAGAAAGGCTGATGACGCAAGCCATTGGATCGGGTTCATCGAAGCGCGAAACGCGAGCAAGAATTCGACGACGTCGAGCCGCTACATCAGCTCTTGACATTTCGTCGCATCGTTCAAGATTTTCAGGATTTTCATTCGAATCTCGGACGGTTGGAGGGGGATAGGAGGGATATCGAGCTGATGTTCTTGAGAGAGGACGCGGCTCGAGGGGAAATCGATGGCCACAGACGCCGCCGTCGTCGGCTAGGAGAGCTGGAATCCATCTCGAAAATGAAATTTCGTTGAACGTGAGCCTCCTTCTCCGAGTTTTAATCGATTCCAAATGCGAGATTCCAAATGTACCACCGAGCGGCAAGGCAAACATTTGAACGAACCGAGTTGGCCAAGGATTTGATTCAGTCGCGAGACATCGTAACCTTAACCGAGGGGAAGGGAACGACTTTAATGCGAACGCCAATTAACACAGTTGGCCGAACGAGATCTGGGCCTTTGTTCGACGCGGAATCTTCCTACGAAAACGATCTCCTTTTCGAGCTAATTGTAACCCCTCGCCTAATGGGTTCTAAGTGAGAGGGATTAATTAACGAGAGAGGAGAGGATTGAATGTAAATCTTTGAACACGGGAACTTCTTCGTCTTATTTACGTTCGAACTGATTGAAGTCTCTGTTCGAAGCAGAGAAGGTTCGTTCTCTTTTCTTTCTTTCTTTCTCTTGTTTCTTTTCATTTCTTTCTGTTTGGTTTAGGAGGGAAACTTGACGAATTATTGCGCGCCCTTTTTCGTTTAGTTTTAGTAATTGCGAAGGAAAACTTCGTTAGATGTTAGAGGAAGTTTTTTTCGAGGATTTTCACGGTGTTGTAATGATTTGTTTGTGTATCTTTTGATCGAGAGAGGGAGTTCCCTTCTTTCGCTGTGTTTTTTCTCTCGTTGTAAAAATACCGAGCACAAATGAAGTGAAACATCGATAAAAGAATAATGAATAATTAAAGTCGTTAGCAAGCCGGATCAGTGTGTGCGTGTATATACGATGCTCTTGATAACTAACCAAGTGTTAAACATTGAAAATTAATTCTACTAATTAAAGCAACGGCAGAAGGAATAATAAGTATCGATAAAAGTGAACAATTGTGACAAGTACTGGATAGACGTACAAAACGAAGTTACACTATAGACGTGAAACAAATTTTTAAAACGCGTTTCTGCTACAATTTCCTTCGCTTCGAGGAGTGGAAAATACGTGACAATTGAATTAAAAATTGGCACGATTTCAACGGTGTATCAATAACACGTGACAGTGTAACGAAATGTTTAAAAATATAACGTGTTATTAAATCTGAATTTTCGTAAAAGTTGAAGTAAAAGAAAATCACGCACGGCAATAATATCGCTAGTTAAATTAATTTTTCAACAACAAAGGAAAAAAGCCAGTTCAGGGAAACCCATTGAAATTCTAGATTTAAGAGAGAAAAAAGAAAGAAATAAAAGGAAAGGCAGCTTGTATAAACGAACAGAAAGTAAAAGATATTTTACTAATTTGTTGAAATGATGTACACAGAGACGTAAGGAAGAGAAAATGTCCAAGAGATCCTGTTAAATGGAATTTAAAGGCAAGGTACGCAGTTCCAAGTAATTAAATCGACAAACAGTGATTGATTAGTGATACACATTTGCTTTCGATAGCTTTTCAATGCTTTTTCGATTAAAAACTAAACATTTTCGGTCGATTAAGAATGAAATAAAAATGCAAATATTGGGAATTAATTATGTATATATATATTAATTATGTATTTATAATATATATATGTAAATATTCAATCAATTCTCAATGTCATACATCAATATCAGTGTCACGAATTTGTGATTTATTACAGTCTACTAACAATTTCAAGACACTTCGTCGAACGTTTATTGCAATTTTATTGGAACGCGGGTCACCTCCGTTGGAAATGCGCATCATTTTTCCGAGGAATCAATTCCGAGTATGCTCACGAGAAGGTCAACTGCGGATATTAAATAAATTTCTACCCATTATTATTTTACGGTTTGTTTTATATATCTTTTTTAACGTCATTCAAATTTGTGTTGCAGTTGCTTGATAGAAATACAATACGTTTCGAAGAACGTTCAATATTCTATAATTTTGTCATTTACAAACTGTTGACAAGATTAGAGAATAATTTGTAATGAAGAAAAATAATCTTATGTAATCTTATGTTATGAATTTGTTGCAAGAAGTGTGTATTTTAAATTATTTATGATGTTACTTAAAAGTTTGAAATCAAAACAATTTCCGAGTTAAATTTGTGCATCCGCAGTAATATTTATATTACTCAAAAATTCACGCTTTCACGCAGTGCGCATATACTTCATCACGTTACACGCGAGAACACACAGTCGCATTAATAAAAAAACGTTGCAACTCCGCTGGTGTCCTAAATACATATTCTGCGAAATTTTTGAGAAAATAAATCCTCATCTCGCGGACTTTAAACGGTATTATGATATAAATCTCGACTCAGGATACTTTGATATTCATTTGTAAATTATAATTTACCACCTTGCATTTTGTTCCACCTATTTTTTATTTTCTCCCAATTATTTTAAAATTCCGCTGAAAAATTGCCACGAAATATTACAGGGAAACGGCTCGTTCGACGAAAGGAACGTTTTAACAAATTACGAGATGGACACGAACTCTTGCACTAATATTGTCTACTTTTTTAATTGCTCGGTGCAAATTCTGTTGAAAAATTTAGTAAATCTAAAGAGACGAGAGAAACGCCACGCGCGGGGAAATAAACACAGGAGCACGATGGCGTAATCTGAAGGAGAAATGACACAATTTGGATATAATAGCGCGGCGTGGCGGGCGTACATCATCCGCCATAAATCATCCGCGTTGCATTTGACACGTGTGTCCTACAATGCGATATCCAGCTGTTATCTGTTTGTGTAACGTTCAAGACGCCGCGAAAATTAGATGATGCACGACAGATCGAAACGTCGAAGCAATTTGTTGGCGTTGATTTCCCAATGGTCATTACCATTCTCGCTGGCCCCTCTTCACGGGGCAGAGAAACTTCTCGCAATTCTATGATTTAACTCACCCGGTCGTTCGTTTACGTGGCATCGTTACATCGTTTGCACGCGCATACGCTTCGTGTCACGAGTCATCGGGGAAGCTATCACTGCTAAGAGAAAATTTTGAAAATTTCATGATCCTTCGCCTTGACACGGTACAGTGATTCTCAGCCAGAGTTGCAAAGAAATCCCCTAAGGGTGGGTCTTGATGATCGATAAAACATAAGGTGTTAGGGAAGTCGAAGGCGAAGAATAAAATTTGAAGATGCTTGGAGGGAGATGCAGGATTTTCGTAGTTGACACGAGTTAAAAGAAAGATGCGTGGAATTCGCCTAGTGCTAGGAGATCTGACCTAATTCGACGCTTAACGATATTACAATTCCCTCCACCGTCGTCAAGCTAAGTACTTGCTCGCTTTTTAGCGTGTCGCGCCTCGTTATTTCCTTTGATTATTTATACGACACTTTAAGTGCATTTTCAGTCGGATACGTTCGCTGATTTGTGGTCTGGTAATACGTGTGTGGTATTATCATACGTAAAGTATGATAGTTTTACGAAAATCATTTCTAGATGTACCTTAACAACTCGTTCTTCGAGAGATTCGTTATTTCATAAAATCGAGGAAGTTTGAAACTGAAGATTTTCTTCCGATCTAAATAAAAAATGATAAATTTTTTTTTTTATAGAATATTGGAATTTTCTAACATTCTGTTATTCGAGTGTGAAATTAAAACTTCCATCGCAATTTTATACGATTCAAAAGCTTTCGTATGATATAACGAAAATTTCCCTGTAATTCTTCGTAACCTTAAAATATTGAATTACTAAATTTCGGGCGAACTGCGTAAATATAAAATTCCTAGTACGAAACCGTCGTATCTTTCCAATATTAAAACATTTACTCATATACTTAGTACGAAACGATATCAAACTTAATCGAAATCCAAATTATCCAAGCGACGGTGTACAAAATTTTATGAGAAAAAAATTTAACCCGACGTAAACCACTGGCCTTACCGTAACCTTCGCCGAGCGTTTATATAAATTTGATTCGTATCTTTCATCGACGAACCGTCGAACGTCCGACAATTGGAGAAAGAATTCAAAGAACCGTTTCTATAGCGGCAGCGCGGCAAAGGGTGGCTGAATGGAAATAAAAGAATTCGATGTTGCCCTTTGTAGCAGAACGAAGACAAGTACTCGGTGGCGAACAGCCAAGCACCGTTGCAGGCCGGCGAGGAGGAACACCCGGAACGTGGCACATGGACGGGGAAATTCGACTTTCTGCTGTCTCTCCTGGGCTACAGCGTCGGTCTTGGCAATGTCTGGCGATTTCCGTACCTATGCTACTCGAACGGGGGCGGCGCTTTTCTAATACCGTTCACGGTGATGCTCATTATCGCCGGGCTGCCCCTCATGTTCATGGAGCTTTCCTTAGGTAAGCAACAGTGATCCTTTAGTTGTCACATTGCTACCATACACACACGAGCGTTACACCATGTTGACGCAATAGATTTGCCGAACTAATCGTTGGACTAATTAGAGAGATTGGGAAGTGGTTTCTCACGCATTTACAGGAAAATTTCGAAACGCGAAAATGTAACACGCGAAAATGTACGTGAAATATATTATTGGACTTGCAGCTGGATTTTAGTACGAATTTATTTTCTATTTTTGAGAATACAACTCGAGAAGTTGCTTTACTTTTTACTAAATGTTATGAAAGAATCAGTAGTAAGTATTGCATAAATAAATGGAAGTTAAATCTCGTTGTTGCGTCCTCAAAAATATGTTTATACAGTTACATTTCAAATGGCGTCATAATTCGGAATCTGATGATTTAATTAGATTATATGACTGCGCAGTTGGAAATTTAATGCAAAGAATCATCCGTCATTGTACCGGTCATTATTGAAAGTGGTCATTGAAATACTAAAGGTGCATAATAATTGACAAGTGTAAATCGTTAATACAAAGAATACACACGGATGTAAAAGAGCAAATAAACGATTTAAATAAATTGATAAATTAATAAATCATCAAATTTGTCTACAAAGTATCATGTAGTATGTATGAATTAATAAACAAATTACACTGCTTTTACATTTTACGAGACGAAACGGAGGAATGTCTGTTTATTTCCGCTTTCAGATACGATCGTGTATAATTCCGTCGAATTCCAAAATAAATGACGAGATAATAAACCTAAATAAACCAATAAAGTAAATTGCAGTAGCGTACTAGCCTCATACATTCTATGAAATATGAAACGAAACGGCGGTAGAGTTGTTATTTCCGCTTCGAATCCGATCAAAGAAATATAGACTTGAAACGAGACACGCGAACGTCCCTCGTGTTTCGTGTTCGGAAGATGAACGGATATTTCAGTCTCGCGAAGATTAATAAAAAGGATCGGGTAGCTCTGTTTCAAACCCGTTTGTCCCCTATATAATTCATCAATTCAAGATTCCCGGTAAGCAATTGTGCCTTGGAACAACTATATCGACGAGTCCTATGTCGGTCGAAACTCGCCAAGTTGAAACATTTCAAGAGGAGCGACTAGCTGTTCCTTTCTGTCAGAAAAATGACACGTGAGAAGGAGGAGATGCGGAAAGAAAAGTAACAGAAATCGAATCGAAAATATTAATATTTATTAAACATTACAAGAAGATGGACTGGGAACATTGCGGAATTTCATTATTACGACGGCGACGGATAAAAGTCGCGATGTTTTAATACTAAATTTATGAAATCTGTCAGAACGACTAGTGTCAGATATTCTCTTCATTTTTCAAGTCTGCTTTCGTTATAAGATAAAAATATAATATTATTTTAAAGTCGGTAGAATGCTTTGGAAATATTCTACGCAACTGTCTTCTTTTTTTTTTTTAGTATTTACAATTAATTACCGTTTCATTTAAAAAAGACTTTGTTACTCTGAATTTTTTCTCCACAATTTCTTCGTTATTGTCTATTTAACTTAATTAGTATATCCTCAAACTTCCGAAAGATATTTACAAAATTCACAAATTAAAGGGAGATAGCATCGTAAATTGCACATACGTGTCACTTCTAAAATCTAGCGAGCATCATTTGACCAAATGTCTCATCGAAATAAACCTGATAAATACCTCATTCGTAAAATCGGCAAAAAAAATCAATATATTGATGTTGTTTCACGCTTTTGCAAACAATGTTTTTTTTTTACACGGATCAACATTCAATTATAAATGCTACACCCACGTGTGTGTAAATGTCGTCACGCGCGCAAATGAAATTGCACTGCACGATCTCTGTCTCGTTCGTGAACGCAGGGGGGTTGAAATCACGCAGGAAATAGACTTTAGCTACGTGGTAAGAATGCAAACTTCATATTCTTATCGTCGTCGGTGTGCGCAAGGTCAGCTCATGTCCACGCTTGTTGATTTACCGAAATAGAACGATCAATGAACGATTGTTCCTCGTTACCAGGCTTACGTAACGTTATTTTTAGGCGAACCAGTGAACCGTTCGTGATATCGACCCCTGTCCAGCGATTCGATATTCCCCCGTGTAAATTGCAGATGCACCGCCAGGCTTGGCACAGATGACTTATCGATCCGTTTCTTCAGCTGTTTCTTTCTTTCTCTCTCTTTTTTTTTCTTCTTCTGCTTCTTCCTTTCGCTTTTGCAATATTCTCTCCCCCAGGGCAGTACGCGAGCCTTGGCCCAGTGGCGGCGTACAAACGTTTCTGCCCCCTCCTGCGTGGCTTGGGATACGGAATGGTGTTGGTCAGCTCGGTGGTGATGCTCTATTACAACTTGATCATCGCCTGGACCCTTTATTACATCTTCGTCTCCGTGGCCGGTGAGTTTTCATTTCGTAATTGGTATTGCTGGACTGTTGGCGATAGTTTCGAGTTAAATTAACGAGCTGTGGAATTTTTAATTTAGCTTGAATCTCTATATTATGGGAAACACGAGGCATGAAATAAAATCAAATATTTTAAGTTCAATTAATTAAGTAATTATTGTGGTTACGTATGTACCGACTATATTGTTTGAGGGTTAACTATGGATTTTATCCATATTACACGATACATCCTCGTTCAAAAATTTTACAGTTGTCTTGTAACTGGAAATAATTAAAATAATACTCGACGATCGAAACGCTTGACAAACTTAAATGTATTTATCAATGCCTGTTGATATTTATTAAAATTAAAATTAGAATATAATCTTTACGCACAAAGATAGATAATTTTATTGTTTACAATAAGTTAAATATCAAATGCATGCTATAATAATAAATTAAGTATTAAATATACAATAAATAAATATTAAATTATTATTAAAATATTATAAATATTAAAATTTAAAAGTAAAAAATTGTCCTTAGACTTTGAACGGGAGTGTATATCCCTATATGTGTGCTCGTTTTATTTCTTTCTTTCTTTTCTTTTTCTCGTTTAACTGCCACACACGTTAATCGCCACAAGTGCTATCCAGAAACCAACGTCGCATACATGTCTATAACGGAGATTATTATACTCCCATTTGGAGCTTTGCTTATGGTTTTTTTCTTAAAAGGCGTTCGCATCCGAAAAGTTTTGTAAACGCGAACACGCGATACCACGATGCGAGAATTATTGATCTGTCTGAGTGTAGGTTACTATGTTTCAAGTGTCGACGAGTATCTGGGTTGTGAGTTTTGTTTTTTTCTTTTTTTTTTTTTTTCTTCTTGCATTGCATCGAGAATTAAATATATAGCGAGGGGGAGGATGAAGAGGGAGATGAAACACTTTGGTGGTATTCTAAACCTGGGGTAATGGAGAGAGGTTTCGTTTCAGTGAAACGGGGATGTTGTGTAACAGGTCAATCGTGTAATAAAGAAATCTGGTTGTCGTTTGGAGAGTACGATAAAAACAATGGTATGATAGTAAAGAGCATTCGAGCACGATAATCTCCTTTTACGTGATACAAATTCTTCTATTTATATTCTCAAATATTCTAAAGCTAAACGCATTATTTTGCTGGTAGTTATACATCAATAATTCAAACTTAAAATATTTTATTGAACTTGAATGCGAATCGATTCATAAATATAGTTCAGAGTCGAAGAAACGTTGTCAAACATACAGAGACAAATATTGTAACGGAGAATTATTAACATCGGTGTGTGCAGGGGCAGGTAAACTGCCATGGAGCAAGTGCGAGCCACCATGGAGTACGGAAGACTGCTTCATGCCAGAAGCTGCCGAGGCCTGCGTGTCTCAAAACATGAGCTACTTCAAAGGGAAATGCTTAAATTCCACTCAGATGGCCTCCATGGGCCTGACTATCGAAAATATCACTAGTGCCATTAGAAGACCACCGGCTGAGGAATATTTTAAGTAAGAACAACGTGTCGTTTAATATATTCTCATATTATCATGTAACTCGTGGACTTTGTAGTAATTGAAGTACGTTATGCCTAATATATGATGTCAATCATGTGCACGCAGCAATCACGTGTTGGGGATGAGCAGTGGTATCGAGGAGACAGGTTCGATTCGACCCTCGATGGCAGCGAACCTTCTGCTAGCATGGATCATCGTCTTCCTCTGTCTGAGCAAAGGTGTACAAAGCTCGGGGAAGGTTGTCTATTTCACTGCTCTCTTCCCATACGTCGTTCTGGTAAGCGTGATTCTCGCCGACGCTTTTCCATTTCACTTTCGAATCCCCCGATCTATTTTTATTATTCCTATTTCTCAACACTTCAAAAAGCAATTTACATCATACTTACATTTGCAAAGATCGAAATCGGTCTAACTGAAATTAATTCTTCACTTTACAATAAGAAATAATCTGATTAACAGGAATGGATTAATATCAATGTGCAACTCATTGCCAATGAAATTACTCAGAAAAATTTTCTCCCAGTCCATTCTCGTCCCAAGAGCTCGCAATTCCTTCGTCGATTCGAACAAACGTGGAAAGGAGAGTCGAGCAAACGATTTTCTGCGTTCTTTTTTTTTTTTTTTTTTTGTTCGTAGATCGCTCTTTTCATTCGGGGAATTTTACTTCCCGGCGCCAACGAGGGCATTCTCTTTTATCTAACGCCCGATTGGAAAAGGCTAATGTCCGCGAAAGTGTGGGGCGACGCCGCGGTGCAGATCTTCTTCGCCTTGAGCCCTGCTTGGGGCGGTCTGATAACGCTCAGCTCCTACAACAAATTCACCAACAATTGCTACAAGGACTCGTTGATCGTCGCCGTCAGCAATATCGGCACTTCCTTTTTCGCTGGCTTCGTCATTTTCTCTGTGATCGGTTTCCTCGCCCACGAGCTCGACGTCCCTGTTGCGTCTGTCGTCGACCAGGGTGCTGGATTAGCGTTCATTGTTTATCCTGAGGTACGTGGATTGAAAATTATTATTAGTACAATTAATAACGCACCACGGTTTCTACTAATAACATTTGCACAGTTTAATAATTTTTCAATTAAATTCACTAAGAGAAATAAATTGTAGAAATTATTTTATTTTGTTCTTAAATTATTTTATTTTGTTCTTTATACATATATTGAAGTTATTATACAAGAGTTTTAGGATTTTATTCTCAATGAGGATACTTTCTCTGCGTTAGTTTATTTTGTTATCTCATCTTTCAGTCTATCGTTGCATTTTGCGTTAAATGTGTTCCTTCATCTAAAATTTAGTATGCAATATTTTAACCTTCAATGTTACACTATTTAAGAAAATAAATATTAAAAAAAAAAATAGGTAGTAGCTCGTTTACCAGTTGCACCAGTCTGGTCGCTGCTCTTCTTCGTGATGTTGCTTACCTTGGGCCTCGATTCTCAATTTGCTCTGATGGAAACCGTCACCACAGCGATTCTCGATGCCTTTCCAGCACTGAGAAATTATAAATTATGGGTTGTCCTGGCGGCAGCCGTGTTCGGTTACGCCGGCGGTATCGTTTTCACTACCAACGTAAGTTCACAAGCATTTCCATTTTATTACATACAAACATTTAGAATATGTTAATACAATCTTTAAAAAAAACCTCGAAATAATTATTTTTACAAATATATTCCACATATTATATCTTCTTTACCCAAATGAATGGATTTTCAACGTATAAATTACATTTAAGAGCCAATCACGAAGAGATTTCATTCGATGAAAATATCATTTCTTTCGCTGTACTTCGCAGGCTGGCATGTACTGGCTGCAACTGATGGACAAATACGCGGCGAATTGGTCGGTGTTATTAATCGCTATAGGCGAGTGTATCTTGGTCGCGTGGATCTACGGTGCGGATCGATTTCTCGACGACGTACAGCAGATGATCGGACCTCGCAGTCGTCTCTGGAGATTCTTCTGGACCTGGATGTGGAAAGTGATTACGCCAGCGACGCTCTTTTTCATTCTGTTCTTTAATTGGGTCGAGTACGAGCCGCTTAAATACGGTGGCTACGTTTATCCGAAATGGGCGGATATTGTTGGATGGGTTGTCGGTATAATACCAGTTCTGGTCATCGTTGGCTTGGCTCTCGTAAGTAAAATTTAAATTCCTCGACGAATTTTTCCACCACGTGAAATATACGTCGTTCGTGAGAGTAATTTCGGAACACGGTTAACATTTAAAGTATTCGGCCTCTTGAAATCGAAGGAATTGAATGGAGAGTATCAGGATTGGTGTTTACAATAGAATGTCGATTATTGGATTATTGATTATTGGGCACGCCGATTATAAGAGTCCTTGCATAGGCAGAACTTCTTTCAGCTCTCCAGTGTTTTGTCATGTATAATTGTAATGTAGAAACAGTTTTATTAGTATGACAAAGCACTTGGGTGCTTCGTGTCAGTCGTGATTCATTGAACTAACGTTTTTTTACTTGCTGCAGTTGTATTTTATGACATGTTGTGCAGATAGTATTTATATAATATAACGAAATTTATTAATTGTTGCAATAAAAATAAATTTGATAAATTTGAATTATAATGATTTAGAGATGATATTTCTCTAAATCTCTACGTATACAATTCACATATATTTTTGTACGACCATTTACCTTTACACTCATTCAACATTATAAACTTTCTTTCTTTGTTCCTCTATCTTCACTTTCCATCATTCTGGTCTGCATTCAATATACAAATTTTCAATTCAATATACAAATCTTAACACTTTCTATTTTTTTATTTACTATTTACTTACTATTTTTTTATACGTAGTCATATTGTCATATGATCGCATTATTATTACAACGGCTCGATCGCCATTTGCTAACAAATGCGCAGTTACAATACACTAACAAATAAAATATCGATATCTCAATTAATTAGAAAGAAGCAATAATTAAATTTCCATTTCAAGTTTAAATTCCTCCGATAAAAAAAAGCAAGTTTTTATTTGCAGTAGAAGCGACTGATCGACAAAGCATTAATATTTATACTGTATAAAAAAAATAAACTGATCCCCCTCATCAACCTCCAACGTTCTAATATTTTTGTTACCTAGTTCATCAACATTCTCAAAATACCGACCAAATATTTTTGTTAACGCGTCGTTTATTTCAGAGCCAATTGAGGGACCGGCGTCCTCGTTCCGCCTACGACGACGACGACGACGACGACGACGACCTGGACAATCGTCCGTCGTATCAGAGAGCCGGCAGAGGGAGAACGAAGAAGAGCAACGGGAAGAACGTTTGGTGGCGGGCGAAGATGCTTTTACAGCCGACTTCCGATTGGGGTCCTGCGGCCAGGAATGCTTCCACTCCGTCGAGAACGCTCACTCACACGCCGTCACCAGGTAATCAGCGACCTAATCAACCTTTAATCACGTGCAAGTAAATGCCATCATACAAGAAGCGGTGGATGCATGTGGTCGCAAGCGAGATGGAATTTTCATCGGCTTTGGTTGTAATCGGATCGAACTCGGGTTCAAGCTGATAATTATGCCGGAGAATAATGAACGATGATAGACACTCGATAGCATTATGCTCGAGCAAAGGGTTGACGCCGGTGCAAGTGCGAGGAATTACGATATTTTTTTTTTCTCATACGAGATTATCAGATCTGCGCTGGGATTTTCGCCTACGCGTGAGCCGATGTGGTCGATAATCAGATACGTCTGCCTGCCGAGTACTCATTTACGTAGTTGCTGAATACCACGAAAATATGTGTCTCGTATTTTTAAACTGGTGGTATATCAGTCGTTTGACAGCGGGCCATATTGTGATGGAGCGACATGTTTTATAAATGCACGCGCGGATAAATGTCACGAGTTGACTGCGGATCGTGCATTTATGAAGACTGTGAATAAAAATGTCAGAAGTAAAGCGCATTTGTCTATATTTGGGAAATAAAATATCTTTTTATTCGTGTTTTAATTGTTTGACAATAGTCTTGAAGGTATGAATGTGTATAAATATTCGTGATCTAGCCACGAGTAACTGTCATTATATAACTTTATCCTCATCTTTAAAATTCAATAACACTTTCGAGCAAAAGTTTACAAACATTTTTTATAATTGTAACGTATAAAATATTCGGCTTGCAACTGGTACTTCACTGAATCCTAAGAGAAATATCCAAATTAAAAAATCAAAATCACACAAGAAAATTTTATAGAAACATTTTATAGAAATTTTTATGCAATACATTCGTGTATGTACAAGTTAAAAAATTATAATCGTAGGAAATATTTTAAAACAATCTATATAAAAATGATCCACACAGAGATACAAATAGTCGTGAAAGAAATATTTAGAAAACGTACTTACTGATGCTGCAAAATCAGACATTTTATGTGTTACGTTAGGAATTTTCATGAAATGATTTCTACGCAGGACCACCAGGAGGATACAATTCCGTGAGAGACACCATAGTCCTGGTGAACGGTCAGCCAATGATGGTGCAACCATCGAGCACGTCCGGCACCGCTCAGAAACTTCCTGGACCGTCGATCCTCAAGAATTCTAGTAAAACCGATTTGATCACATCGCAACAAGTCTGACACGATGTTCATTTTATCTGTAAAGACGAGTCTGCCCAGAAATCTATTGCCAAAGATACAACACGCCAATAAAAGATAGTTGCATACTCGCAGATAGGTTCGATGACCATCAACGATCGATCGGGTGGCGGTCAATCGAAGAAGAAAAAAAAAAAAAAAAAGAGAAATATATGACAGTTGAACGTTCCAATAGAAGAGAGATATTCCTATGAATTTATTTTTTTAACGAGGAATAATGGGTGTATTTTTTTATATACTCGAACCTCACGACCCTTGTATCTTCTATTCCAATAGAATCTACAGTTTATACGACAGTTGAAATATTCTTATCAATTGTTACAGTATTAATTTTAAATTATCAATTTTATAAATGCGTTCTCTCTCTTTTTTTTATTATTAGATCAAATATTTGATATTCTGTTTTTTTTTTTTTTAGAAAATTTACAATTCCAACGTAGGTTCGTAATAATTAGTTGTTATCATTTGAGATTAAGTAGCAACTGTTTCGTTGTAAGATAGCATGTGTAAACTCGTAATCGGTACAGCGGTTCGCGTGAAACGTGAGGGGAAAAGGATTTGAAAGAAGACTGTTGACGAAGAGATGGCGTGTGAGAAAACTCAGATGAAACACACGCGCTGCGATGTAAAATCGTTAGGAAAAATTACGCTATTCCACTGCTTTCGATTGTACATAAGAACGCAAGGAACACGGTGGGAAATGAATTCAAAAAGAAATCTCACATCTGAGACGAAACAAAAAAAAAAAAAAAAAAAAAAAAAAAAA